AACCTTTTCTATTAATTAGCTCTACTGACCAACAGAATGAGATAGAGGATCTGAAAGGCGTAACCGAAGCAAGAATATTTATACTGATGAGGGGCAACTAGATTCTAGACATTCAACTAAAGAAGCTGAATCTGAACCACTAGCACTGAGATAAAAGCGGGACAGAGTCGTGACAATAAATGCTGGGAAAAGAAGGATTAGTAGTTGTATTCTGCTAAGAACTAATTATAAACGGACAAAACATTTGGTTTTTCAGAGGTTTATTTACAATAAACATAAAAAAAAAACATGGATTACGGTATAGGTATATTCGTTAATCATCATGGATATTTAGGACTTTCTTTGATCAACCATTAAATATACTATTAAATAACAAAAAATGTTACCTTTTTAACATGGAAAAACGTTCAGGAAGTATAAAGAAATGAGTTTTATTTTCTGGTGCCAGACGAATCTTTCAGCAAGAATCCAGGATGAATGTAGTGTTGAAATGTTTTGACGCCGCCTGCTCTGTTTACATTAGATTTCCTTTTAGCTCGGCTGCATTGCCGCTCTGGTTTTGCATTTCTAACATCAGTTCCCGTTTCTCTGGTCCCATCTTGTTTTTTGTTCTTTTCAGCTTTGCATATTTATGAGCCTCAACTAGTTATCCTTGTTTATCCCTGATGCTGAATCATGCTGGTTTCTACTTCTTTAACAGGGGAAAAATCCAAAAACACATGAACATCCTCTAGAAAAAGCTAATTTCCAGTCATTATTGAAGAACACGCCCAGAGTATCTTTGGTAGCGTCTCTGTAGGGGTTATTCCTGCTGTGTCTGACAGTGTGTTAATCACAGGGAAATAAATAAAGCATGGGGGCTAAGGGCTGAGGGCTAAATCCAACAGACTGCTGGTGTTCAGTCTGTCACATGCATCACCTTTCCTCAGGGAACCTGGACTCAGCCCATTCCCCCCAGTAGAATCATACCATCAATTATTCAGTGCATCATTTTTTGTTTTTGTTGTGGTTATATTTCCTGAACACCTTCCAGGGTCAGCATGACCTGTTGTATAACTGTCCTGTCAGTGTACAGATAGGTGATCTTGCAGCGCCTCCCAGTGGTTCCAGGATAGCATCACACACCCAGTAACCCCTAAAGGGGCCCATCATGTCCTGCTACTTTAATGGCTTCACCTTCTCCCAGGCTGCAGCCCAGCTCCAAAAAGCAGAGCCACTGCTGAGCAGGAAGTTTTGCATTAGTGTATTACCAAAATGCTCACATCTTTGTTTGTTAGAAGCTTTAGGTTATTATTGGAGTTATTTTGATGGAGACAGTTGCAGCATTTTGAACTTTTCTGAGGTCAGTTTCTGAGCCTTGGTCCATAATTGATCTGAATACTGCAGTGGAGGGTGCCAGGACAGGACTGTTAGCAGAACTACCATTTTAATGGGGCAGAGCCTTTAAAAAAACATGTCAACATGGAGCACTGATGGTACCAGCTAATCTGCCTTCATAATCCCCAGAGAGGAGGGCTGAAACAATTCAATCAGATTAATCAATTATTGGATTGATAATCAACTAATTTAGCAGAGGTGGAGAATCCAGGTCTAGAGAGTAAAAAGCCTGTACAGAGATCACTGCCAACCATTTGCATAGCCAGCTACACACACTGACCTCTATTCATTCACTGGATGGCATAAGCGTCGTTAGACCTATTTAAGGGTGGTTTCAGTCACCCTTTCTTTGGCATTAGCCACCCTATAATTATTTTGCGATTTAAAAAAAAAAAATATATTTTTTCCTCATATTTTCCCAAAACAAATGCAGTAAAGCACCGAATAAAAGCCATAAAGAAGACAAGTTAATCTGAACAATCATAGGCGTAACTTCCTTAAGGACTGGTGTGGACATGTCCCCACCAATATTTTGTACACGTATTTTGCTTTCGGTGCTGTGTATTTCTGATTAAAACCCCATTCATGCCGCTCCTCAGAAAGAAAATAAAAAAGTTCTCCCCGCTGCTCACCGTCCACAAACCCCGACAAAAAAACTCAGAAAAAAGAATCTGTTGCCTCTCGCTTTCTCCCCATCACCCCCCTCCAACCTCTCCCCATAACATTTGAATTGAAGATATCCGCGGGTGACGGGTCGGGTTCGGTAGTCATCCTAACGGGTTCGGGCGGGTGCGGGTTGGTAAAACTCGACCCATGCAGGTCTCTAAGCTACACTACATTCAGTATCGTTGCCATAGAAACAGACAACAGCGCCAATATATCAGAATTATACTAAAACACACGCAAATAATTTCCCACATAAAAAACAGGACTTTCAGTCCATTACAGTTTTCCGTTTTTAGAGGGTTGTTTATTTTGCGTTTATTAAGTGATGGCTGTGGTATATTAGCTTTCACTGCTATAAGCTTTCGCAGCAGTGATTGATTAATTTAAGCAGCTGCTCTACTGATGGTCTATCGGAGTTGGTGTTTAGGTTGAACATAAAGAACACCTTTTATTTGAAGCTTCTTGTAGCTACTGTTTTAATCCCGGCTTTACTTAAAACTTTTTCCTGACTTTGATAGTGTTGCCATTCAGTAGCAAGCACTGCGCCCCTTTTTCTTTTATATGTACATTTAAGATTTAGCGTGTTATGTTGACAACTCATGAGCAAGCTGCTTTTTGCAATCTAGCAGGAAGGTAAGGATAGGATCTTGCAGGTGTGACGTCACTCTGCAGGGGGTCCAAAGATAAAAGATTTAAACAATTTTGGCATTGGAATTTCAGATTTAAGGGAGTTAGAAAGTTCACTTAGTAAAAGTGCAAATAATAAATCTGATTACCGATTACTTTTAAGCTGGTTGAACATACTGCGACAGACTGGTGACCTGTCCAGGGTGATCCCACCTCTCACCCAGAACGTGGCTGGAGATATGCACCAGCACCTCCTGATCCCACTGAGGGATAAGGTTAAAGAAAATGGATGGTTGAACATAGTCCGCTCTCCCAGATTCTATCAAATCAGTATTGATACCCTCAGGGGCGGATTTAGGACATTTGGGGCCCTAGGCAAAGACAGGCAGGGGGCCCCCTGAGAAGTAAACCCATAAAACAGACCCATTCTACAGATAGAGAAATGTTAATAGAATAGACATCCATTATTTGTTCTAGGTTTTGTCCCTCTCTTCTTGTCCCTTTTTCCTCTCTATTTATCAGCGTTCTGATGGCATTTTAGCCAAAGGATTTTTATCAAAAACATAATTAATGTGCACAAATAAGGATTAGTTGTATTAACCATACATGGAAACAGAGTTTTATGGGGCCCCCAGAACTTGGGGCCCTAGGCAACTGCCTAGTGTTGCCTAATGGTAAATCCCCCCCTGGATACCCTGCTGGTGGATGTTCTTGACGGAAAGACGGAGTTGCTTAATCATATTCTGCTTAAGGTCCCATAAGATCTTGTCCGAGTCCTGGTTTAAAAGTAAATTAATTTTAAAAAGTGACCCAAAATTGACTGTCAATAAATGTTCTACAAAATTGATATATTTATTTGATTTCTTTGATTTGTACTGTCTGTTTAGATTTATGTGATATTTTTTGCACAAAATATATAAGTGAATATTGTAACAGTAATGATTTCAACTGTAAGCATTAAATTGATAAATGTTATTCGCATTTTTTTGGCTTTATCCTTTCCAACAAAAAAAAAAAAAGGCGTCGCGCAGGGACCTCCCTTTCCTTATAAGCCGTCCCCACCAACTTTCAACACAAAGTTACACCCTTGTCTTAGACAACGCCTTAGCAGGTGCACTGAAAAAATTCGGCGCGCGCATTATCTTCTAGGGGCTGAGCCACCCTTGTCTCTTAAACCTAGAGATGCCCCTGCTGGATGGCTTATAGCCCGAAAAAGGTGAAGCCACCGGCCGCCATATTGGTACTCCCCACTCACAAGGAGATGCCCTATAAAAATGCCGTCAAGTGTATCATTTGGCTAAAAAAACAAGCAGTTTTCTGGTTGTGGGAAGACGATCCACTGGTAATTTCCCAGTCAGTGGATGAACTAACCAATAAATCCATCTATACTCCAATGGATTGTATAGTAAAATATGTAGAGCAACATTAGTCTGGCTATCTCAGACTGACTGGAAGACATTTTCTGAGTTATCCACTGACACTGGGTCTAATGGTAGAAAATAGAAAGAGTAAAGGAAGTAATTCACTGTGAAATGTCAGTGTAGTAATTCTTTATTGAGGATGATGCTGTTGATTTGTAGTGAAAAAGTCATGATATATTGCATGTTATATTGATGATGGGGGGGGAGCAACTGAATCACGCATGCACACTTCACAAATAGGAAAATAGCATTAACAGAAATGTACTTTTAATTCAGTCTTGATGTAAAATTTAGAAATTATATGCAACATGTTATAACAATAATGTAATAAATACATGTATTTTACTTGTACATCTATGTAGCACTTTTGGCACATCTGTATTATTCTGCTCCATGAATAAGTTTTAAATTATTGTGATGGATTTTTATAATATGTTATATTACATGATTTATAGACTTCATAATGACTATGCAATGTTATGGGCCTTTTTTTTAAATTATAAGTTAATTTAAACAGCTAGTCTGTGTCAAAGTGATGAATTTATCCTTATTTTAATAGTCTTAAGTCCCCCTGAAAAAGAGAACATTGTTCTTCAATGCTGTAGCGCACAGATTGTTTAATATTGCGACTGGTTTAACTTTGGAGTACCAATATGGCGGCCGTTTGGTTCACTTCTACCCCGTACTACCAGCAATCCAGTGACTAGAGATCAGTGGCTCCACTACATGGACCGATAACCTGGTGAATCGGACAGGATGAAAGAAAAGAAGGCAGGGATTCTACTTTCTGGACCTGGATTATCCACCTGTGTTATTTAGTCATGGATAAATTAACTGGACTATAGAGACTGTAAAACCTGCCTTTAGCCGACAGCGGGAGGCTTAGAGCATTATATTATATTAATTAATTATATCAAAATTGTAAAACAAATATAAAAATTTAGCATTTAAGATAGAAAACAATCTTTTTTATCAGTCATTCTTCTCTATCCAGAACTTGAGTGGAAAAGTGTTTCATCTGGTATTATTTAGGAAAAGATCTTTAACCCATTTAGGCCTAAAACGCCTGGAAAAAACACCTTAAACACCTATGGCCGATTTTAAAAAATACCCCTAAAACCTTAAGTTTTTCTGTAAATTCAGCGACCGTGTCAACGCCTAGTAAATTATCATATCTCAGCTTCTGTAGCAGATAGAAACAAAATTCAAAAAGTATTTGAAAGCTTACACCTGTGGCTTTCCTGGGAAATTGAGTTTATTTAGATACTCCTTCACAAAAATAAACAATGTAAAAGTAAAGTGAACAATAATATGTTCAATCAAAAATAGTAAGAAAATAATAAATATCAACTTGTGTCAGTGACTTGATGAACTGTTAAGAACAAGAACAGAACATACTGATGACTTAAACAGTCGGATTCACATGTAACGACGATAGTGCTTGCCGAAGCACTCAATGTGCAGTGGCAGGCTGCACTGTTTACAACCATACACAGTTGGCCCACCTACTTTTTCAGTGTCCGAGACAAGCAAACACTCCCTACACTGTTTGCGCTTGTCATAGACTTTTCCACAGTCATGTTGTGGAGGAGGTGTGTCTACTCTGCTACCTGCAGATGGAGCTGGAGAGGGAGGAAGAGTAGGAGATGGTGAGGCAGGAAGAGAAGATGGAGGAGTCACATTAACAGCCCTGGTCCTGTGCGGTGTGATGAGCTGCTCAGCCAGGTCCTCCAGCCAGGGTTTGTAGCCTCTGTACTTGTGTCTGAAGGCTGTTCCTCCAACAGACCTTGCAGCAATGTAGGCATTGTGGCAGGACATAGCCAAGAAAAAGAAAAACACCCTCCTCCACCACTTCTTTGATCGATGCTGGAATCCATAATAGCCAATCATTTGATCAAGCAGATCGACGCCTGGAACACACAGAACACTCAGTTGACACACATGAAACTCAGACATTTGCACTACAAAGACAAACAAAACAAACCTTTCATGTGCTTCTGGTAGTCTGCGAGGGAAGCTGGCACTTCCAACGGGACGTGGTTGGCTCCGTCTTTTTTTCGATTCACTGTCCCTGTCTGAGTTGGATCGTGATGGTTGGAGAGCACCATGACGGTTTTTGTGTCTTGCCAAATACAGAACGTGAGGTCGTCCTTCTGAGCTACCCTGAACTCGTGCTTTTCCATTGAGGTGTTTTTTCTAAGCCTCTCATTCTTTGGGAGTCCAGTCCGGTTGGCACGAACAGTGCCGCAAGCGTTCAACCCATGGGTCTTCATCTCCTCTAACAGAGTTACCCCCGTGTAAAAATTGTCCATATAGATGGACAGGTAAGACCCATAATATGGTCTGGCTAATTCCATCACCACACGGTGTGCGAGACCCTTCTCTATAGAGCCTTCACGACCAGCATACACCTGGAGGTTGGTCACATATCCTGTGGAGCTCTCTGCCATTACCCATACCTTGACACCCCACTTTGTCGGCTTCATGGGGAGGTACTGCCTGAAGGAGAGGCGCCCTTTGAATTTGATCATGCTCTCATCTACAGACACGTTGCCATCTACCTCATACAGTGCCTGGAATCGGTCAAGGAAGTAATTCAGAAACCAGCGCATTTTCCATAGCTTGTCATCCTTGTTGACATCTGCTGCCTGGTTATTCTGAAGGTGTAAATACCTAAAAATGCACACATAAGTTACTTTGGATGAAAGCATCACATAAAATATTGTCAAGCTTTTGTAACACATTTGGCATACAGTTGTTTATTTTTTTTATTTTCAACACTATTCACATTGTAGATTATGACTGAAGACACATGTAATTATGTGATGAACAAAAAGTGTAAGGTAACTCAAAATATATTTTATCTTTGAAATTCTTCCAAAAAAAAGTGAAAAGCAGTAATCAAAGAGAAAAAAAAAATAAAAATTCAACCTTTTATTTTTTCCATATGTGATCATGTCTTCATTGAGAATGTGCAATATAAAACGTTTTTAAAATAAAGAACAAACATTACATAAATAACTATCTGATGATTACTTATTAACAGTATTATTATGCATAATAATGCATATGTCTGTGTTATAAATTGCATACAACTTACCTCCAGATGGCCACAAATCTGTCCCGGGACATATTTTGGGGGAACTGCGTCCTGAAGAGAGGTTTACTCTGTCGCCAATAATCTCTTCGTACTGGCAACACAAGAAGTCCCATGCCCATACACAGCCCAATAAATGTCTTCATCTCCGTCACAGTCACGGGTGACCACTTTGCCATCTTTGCTCTTGTTGGAGTTTGGTTTGTTTGGTCACTGTACCTATTCGTCTCGGTAACAAGATGCATCCAAAGTTCTTCATTAAAAATATGCTCAAATGCCTGCAGCGGTGTGGCGTCTGCAGGCAAATCAACTTTCACTCCAGGTGTGCGGTTGAAAACACTCCGTGCATTGCGGTGGTAGTTCTCCGTCTTCCAGTCACTATCAAAACCTTCAAACTCATCGTCGCTAGCGTCCGGCTCGTCGTCTTCGAACATATGTCTTAACCACAAATCCCGGTCGATTGGTTCAGCGCGTTCAAAGTCATCATTTTCATCTATACCGTCATCAAAGCCGACACACTCCTCAAAATCACTGCCTTCCGACAACTCTTCTCTGACAAACTCCTCCATGTTTGCTTGAAAAAAAAACTTCTTTCTTCTTGCGGCGTCAATGGTAGAACTACGCAACAGCGCCCCCGGCTTGAATGGTAGAAATGCGGTAATGCTTTCCCGGCCTAAATGGGTTAAGGAACCTTTTTCTATCCAATTATTAATCGGAAAAAAATGAACAGATTAATCGATTTTCTAAATAAGGGTTAGTTGCAGTCCTACCAGAAAGGTTTACCTTGATACACGGAGCTGATTTATAGATAAAATCCTCCAGTGGACGGCAGATGACACCCTGAAGCCGCCATCTTTAAGTTTTCAGAACAATGAACATTCCAAAAAAGGTAAGAAAAAAATCCCAAAACACTGGACTTTGTCTTCAAACTTGGAAACAAGGTCCGGTGGATTGTTTTTAAAACTTTTCTGCAATGACTGACCTGGAAGACAGAGTCTTCACCAGAACAATGAACAGTAGCGGGTCCATCTGTTTCTAAATGTTTTAATCTGGACGTTTCCACTGGAATCAGTTCAAACCTCCAACAGATCAGACGGCCACACATAAAAGTTCTTTTTTATTTATTTACACAATTTTAAAATACACAAATACAGTGGCAATACAACTGAGGGGCAAAAATATTAAGATGGGAGTGAAAAGAAAAGATTCCCCATGAATCTGCAGTATAAGAAACATCGTGAGACCTGAATCCAGTAGAAACTTAGGAGCTTTATTGGACAGGCGGTGGTAGAAGAAAAGCAGTCCATGGAGACGTGTACTTTCATTTATCATAGCCATCATCAGAGAGACAAACAAGTTATTCTATCAATTTAGTTGTTTTCAAGTCCACAAGTGAAATATATACTGAAAGAAAAAAGGTCCTTTACAGGCCCTAATGGAGTGAAGCATTCCCAATCCCTCTATAAACGACTCGTCCCAAAGCGTACAGCAGCTCACTAGGACGCGGTAAACAGGCGCATCTATACACAACAGAAGGAAGGAACATGTACGAGTTATAACTACAACCCATTCCCACATCAGCTACAGAAAATGGCCTACAAATACTTTGTATCAGTCTATCACATCGAGGAAGTCCTACGTTAAAATGTGCAGGAAGCCCGGAGCTCCGGCGGGAGACCGATTTCCTGCAGCGTGACACTCAGTCCACAGCTCCTAAAACCTCCTTGTGCCTCCACCATGCTGCCGATCCAACAGTCTGTCCATTTTCTATGTAAACGGAAAGGTACCGCAGCATCGCCAAACCTTTCATTTAAAACGATTCCGCCGTTTTAAACGTGGATTTAAAGGGTTTTCTGTGATTAACAAACCTCAAATGTACCTTTAACTTTGCCCAAACTAAACTAAATGGGTTCCTCCACCAAATACTGAGCAGGAAAAAGGATCCGTCACGTTACATCATCTAAGCTGAATGAATGATTTCTGCTCCTAAAGGTGAAGTTTAACTAGAAAATGGACAAATTGTGCTTTGGAGGAAAAAAACAAAACAAAAACAGGTGTGACTCAGCAGAGGAACACAGGACGAGGCCGGAGACGCTGTGGACTTAAAAGCTTACAAAAATCGCAAATGACTTTTATATATTCATATAAAAAAAATGAACATGTTCACCCCCCCCACCACTGAGCTTGGAAACTAGGACAAAAAGCACACAAATACAGACAAAGCCACATCACTACACATCGAGCTGAAAAGAAAACATCAGAAGTTTGTTGTGGACAGACTGAGCTCCTGACTCACTCTTCCATTCACAGCTTTTCCCACGAAGCCGCCGCCGCCGCTTGAAGACCAACTCAATGTGCCGCATGTTTAGGAATTCACCACATCGCCCTGATTCCAGCAAAACCTGAGCAAAACGCGCCTCTTTTCCCGCTCACGGTGCTCTACCTAAACCGATCATACACCTGAAAACTGCCTGACCTGCGGGGGGGTTGAAGTATTTTACAGAACACACAGAGTTCAGGCACTGAGCTCAGAGATGGAGCGGCTCCATCAGACAAAGGAAATCTGAACGTTTAACACGCTCCGCCTTCTCCGCCGTCATGCTGATTAGCTGGTGAAAATGTTTTATGCTAAAAAGATAAAAAATAAAATAAAATCAAAAGTCAGGAGAAAAAAAGTAAAGATGCAGGAGAAAAGTGAATGGATGGCTTGTTCAACAGCAGGGAGTTTTCAAATCTTCCAGTGATCAGGAAGTAGGGTTGCTGTTGCTTTTATTTTGCCAAGATGGTTGTTAAGGCAACCAAACAGGTCTCCACCTGCCCATCTCTCTCTCTCTCTCTCTCTCTCTCACACACACACACCCACACACGCGCGATCTGCTGGCTGTGCATCTCTTCCCCCGTAGAGTGAATAGATGCACAGGAAGACCGGTGCATTGGTGAGCAGCTGTCCGTGTCATCAGAGAGTCCAGGTAATCCGTGTGAATGTGTGTGTGAGAGAGTGGGTGTGCTGCAGGTGGTGCATGTAGAGGCGTCCTCAGTGGATGTGCAGGAGGGAAGGTTTCACCGAGGAGCTGCAGACTGGAGGCCGCTTGGTGTGACCCGGGACAGGGCCTGGAAGACAGGGGGGGGAGGGGTCAGACTTTAGGAAACAGCAGCTTTATTGAGACTCATTTAGAGCTTTTCTGTTGCTTCTCTAATGAGAAACGAGGCTGATGATGACGATGAGGGGGGGCGGACTGTTTTGGATTCTGCAAAGCGAGGTTCTGAGGATTAAACACCGGCCGTCAATAGAAGTCATGGGAACAGACTGAAGCTAAGAGCCGATGGAAAGGGACCCCTGGGAGCCCATTACTGATAATCTGGGTCACTGTTGAAGCCTTTTTCAGGTGCAAACAGAAAATCAACGTGGACCGAACCTCACATGTGGAAATATAGACTGGAATTGAATGAAATGAGCTTTATTATTGAGGATGTGGGAAGCAGGGTGAGTTCTCCGCTCCTCCTCCAGTAGAAGCAGCTCAGGGACAGAAAGGAGCTGAGATTATTAACAACTTTATCTCCGTCTGTCTGCAAACGGATGATTGAAGCAACAAAGAAGCAGAGTTCTGCAGCGCGTTATCAACTAGGAGAGGAAACCAGCTTTAAAGGTCCTCATCTTCAAAAAGGCTCTGCTTAGTGAGACAAACGCCCCGACTTCTTCTGGCTTCCTCTTAAAGTGCTGAGCCAGTCTTCTTACATTCGATAAAGCATTTCAGTGGATTTAAATAAAACCCACTTTGTTAAAGCTCCGTCCACGAGTCCAAAAATTAGTCCCAGAACGTTAACTACTACTACTGGCCTTCAGGTTATAAGTTTTATATATTTAATCAAGTTTCATTTCACATAAAAGGAAAGTTTGCTGCCATTTTAGCGGACAAATATTTGGATTTCATCGGTTTTGGAAATATTCAAAAACCATATATTATAAACTATTGAATCCATTGAATGTATGATTTAGAAATTGAAATAAAAACATTAATTTGCTGCAAAGTTCAAAGCTTAGTCCTGTGATCGTACGGTGAATTGATTTACATTAAATTTCTCCTGTGAGATCAATAAAGTCGTATCTGCTGAGCCTGACGCATCCTGCTGCCATGTTTTTTTTATCCCCTAGCTTTCTTCTGAATGAGGCCCTTTGTGAATATTTGCAATAACAGCAGAGGTATGATAGTGTGTATGCATTCAGGGGTAAACAAGAAAACACAAAGCTAAGCTAACCCGGTTAGCACCTTCCGGCAAAGTTGTGAATAATAATGATGCTGTTTTTAGTCTTTATTGCTCACCCAGGCCTAACTAAGCAGGACTTAAGGTCTAAACAGTATTTTAATAGACTGCAAAGTTCTATTAGGTATTGCCATCATATGGATCTCTGATAGTTCTGCCAGCAGATGGCGCCGCGTGTGCTAATGTCTAATTATGGCGCTCTGAAAGGTTCAAACACCATCAGGGTGATGCTTGGTGTAAATAACCTGATTTTATCAGGTTAAAAACGCAACTTTGATTCTTTAAAGAAGAACTAACCCCCAGATGAGCTTATTTTGACCAGTGAACTGTTTAAACAGACGTGTTGTGGTTCTGTCTAAGTGTCTCTGACATTATTTATCCTCATGTTTAGCGACCGTACAGGATCGTGACGCCAGCTGACGTACCGCAGCGTCATGGTCTATCACTCTACCTGATCAGTGGAAACATTTCATTTTACTGTAATCACTTCAAAACAATGACAAGATGGTAAACACAGAGCTGGCTTTGGTCTTTCTGAGGAGATCAGAGGATAACTGGATGAAAACACCCAGAAGAAATGATTTTAGCCAAACCTCTGATCCTCAATAGCTCGACATAAAAGAGTGGATAAAAAATAATGTTGATACCAACCATCCAACAATCAGAGGAAATAAAACATGAATAAAAAATCTAGCAAGTAAAGATTATTCTGAATCTGCAGCTACATTCTGCAATAAAAACTGAATATAAACACAAACGCAGCAAAAGTTTGCTTAAGGCCAGTGAATACATATATAAATTTTTTATATTATTAAATTATAATATAATTAAATTATTAGTTATTTTCAGGTGATTTTATTTATTTATTCCAACAGTATCCGTCGTGTTTCAATGCGACTTAGGAACACCTAAAGTTAAACGCTGCATCATGCTGTGAAATTTGCTGCTTCACAATAAAAACACTTACAAGAAAATAAAATAGACATTTGAATGTTTGCTTTGTGTCTGTTTTCTCGAGTGAGCTTGTTTTCTATTTTGGTCGTTTATCCAGGTATTCAGTAACCCACTGAGAGAACACTAAGCTAAGTTAATTTTCAAATTACACCTTGTTAAATTGTGATTATATCACAAATGCAATTAATTGCCCAGCCCTAATTTTGATTAATCAATTCTTCAAATAAGAGTCAACTAATGAGGAACTGCCCTAAACACTTAACAAGGACGACCCACTCTGAGTGGTAATTACAACAAAACAGAAACATTAACGTTTAGTGCGTAGGGCACATGTGTAACCTTTAACCATCTGGAGCTCCAGGTTCGCCGCCTCTGAGTGACAGACGGCTCCGTCACTAAAACCAGGAAACATTCATCCTCTGGATCAAATCCTCCATCAGAGAACCAGAAACATGTCTGACCAGCTGAGGGTCGGAGCTAACAGCTGGTAAAGGGAGCTCAGAATGATAGAAAAATGCGCTCTGGGTCACATGACCCATTCAGAGACGAAACCTTTATAGAAGAAAGGCGCAGAGGAGCGTCGCTAAGAGCTGGACATTGGAAAATGAAGCTAATATTTAGGATTGTTGCTTCTTTGGCTGCTCAGAGCTCTGCAGGTGTCGTAGTTTAGGTTAATTTGGCTTAAATTCCATATAAAATCTATTAGGAATCTTATATCTGGTTATTTGGAAAACAATAAAAATAAAAAAATAAGATAAATGGACAGGTCAACTGATTATCAAATTAACTAATAGCTGTAGCCCAACCTTTAACTTTGCTGTTATAACTATACTCATGTGGTGTTTCAACCTGATGGCGTTCGTTACAAAACAAAATGGCATTGACTAAAATAGTAACCAGCGGGTCAGACTGTTTAAAGATGGCTGAGGGTTGGAGGTGGTGCAGAAATAAATCATTTGATCCACAGTAACCTGCTGAAATCTCAATCAGGTTGTCTAGAATTTCCTATGAAAAGCTTTAACATGTTTTCATCGACTGCGGCGCTGAAACCTGTTTGATCCGGTTGGTTCCTGCATCAACAGTCCCAAAACCGAAAACTGCTGGTAGACATGATTTATGTTACATAACCACATTTCCTGCTTGGACCAACAGCATCAGCAGTAAAAGCAGGTATGAGAAGTTTCAGGTTAGACCTGAGCGCTTCGGTAAAGCTATCAGAACGGAGCTGTCCTACTTTGACAGAAGCTAATGGCTGAAACATAAGCTAAATAAAGCAGTAGGACCATAACAGCAGCTCCTAGTAGCCAGGATGCTTTCTGTTTGAACTGAACTGCTGTGAATATTTGATCAAGTAGAATCAAATCTGCAGGAGAGAAGCAGAAAAGTGAACCTCACAGATGAAACCATCCAGGTTTATCCTCTAATTCAGGGGTCTGCAACCCGCTTTTTAATTTGAGGTTGTCAAAAAAATAAGAGCATTTTGGAAATTTGCAGCCGATTTCAAAGTTGGCAGTGAGAGAAAAAGTGCGACTGCAGAACTTCTGGATAAATTAGAGGAGAGCAAATGTAGAGTTAAGAAGTGGAATGCATCTCCAAACTCCACTACTGCTCCTAGTTTGGTTGCAAGAATAGAAAACCGTTTATAGATACAACAGGTAGCGCTCTGATGCAGGGATGGAAACTTTCTTCCATTCGTCTCCAAATCCTCAAAATAAATTTAACACCAAGAAACGCTGGTGACGGAGGATGAGAGATTTCAGGGTTAGAGAGCTCTGCTCTGATAGATGTCTCTTCCTGCTTGGTTCCTCGAGACTCTATCAGCTCCTCCCAACGGAAACACGTCTAACATAGAAAGATTTTTTTATCCTGTTTCTATAATTTCATCAATGCAACAAAACCTAAACCGCACAGTGAAGGGCGGTGATGCGGCACGCAGTGAGAATTTTCCCTGCTCCTCCCTCACCTCATGCTACTGTGTGACATTTGCTCCAATATAAACATTTAATCATGAATGTTTATGATGTAGTCCTTTTCATTAGAGGGCTAATACACTTGGAGCCTTTGTTGCCATACGAGGCTTACCGTAATTTTAACTATAAGCAGCAACAATTTTCTACCATTTTTCGACCTTACGGCTTATATAACCATGTGGCTTATCTATGGACTTTTACAGCTCACGGCCACTAGGGTAATACGGTACCTAAATCTATGGATTTTACCATCCACCATGTTGACGTCACATTTTCTTCAACCGAAGTAGCCGCGCGCGGGAATGCGGACGTCCTCCGGAAGCAGACTCCAAGAAAGACGGACATTGCGAGCTAAAGACAGATTGTGCGACACCCTCATTATAGAAAACAAACGTTGAAATGCATATGATGCAGTTTTTAAGTTGAAGGCAGCCGATTTGGAAGTAAACAAAGGAAATAGAACCGCTGCACGTAACCTTGGAATCAATGAGTCAAAGGTGAGACGTTGGAGACGCCAGCAGGAAGAATTGTCTCAATTCAATTGTGTTGCAATGTTAATAAATAGGAGCTTCCCCAAACAGTTGCCTCTTTCCTGACAATCCTCTCTGTGCACGAACCGTATGGTAATTAAACATTAAAATCCTGCGGCTTATAGTCCGAAAATTACTGTATATTTTTGTGGCTCCACACAGATTTGTTTCTTTGTCCAATGTGGCTCTGTGAGCAGTTCGGGTTGCCGAGTCCTGCTCTACTTGACTTGATTCTGATACATTAATGGGAACGCTACCTGTGAGGTGGACATGCGAGACGTGTCCTGACGTCCTGTCAGATCTGAGGACGAGATGTTGACAGGTGCTCCACGATGAAGACGCATGCTCACCTTCCTCTCCTTTTCCATCCCTAAAACAAAGACTGACAGTCAGCGCCGGCGCCTGTGAAGCGGTACCGGACGTATCCTGAGGTGGAGAGAGGATCTGCTGACCTGAGTGTGAGGCGGGGTTGAGGGGGGAGGGGGCTGCAGCGTCCTGAGCTGCCCTCGCTCTGCCTGAAGCTGAAGCCATGCCTCTGGCCCCTGGGTTCCTGCTGTGCCTCAGTCTCTCCTCGCGTTCCCGACGCTCCCTCTCTGCGTCCTCCACAGCCCTGTTGGCGCCCTGACACACAACACAGGCCGCCGTTTAGCTCCGTGTCAGCTGAGCTATTTTTATACCAAACAGGATCACTGAATCTGGGCCGCGGTGACAAGATGCAGGGACAGAAGGAACGGATGACCCATTTACAACTTCAGGGTTCCCCCCAAAAGGAGATGACATCACCAACGGATTTTTATAGAGTTTAGAGATTTTTCTAAATGGGAAAAACATAATTCTTCCTCCCACATTCCAGATCGTTTCTAGTTTATTCTGGACTTTATTTCAGCTGTATGGTGAGCAAACTTACAAACTTGAGCATGTTCCAGTCAAAGACGTAGTCGTAGGAGAAGCCCTGTCTGTGGAAGAGGTTCCTGAAAAGCTGGCGGAGGTACGAGTAGTCGGGTTTATCGTCAAATCGCAGCGAGCGGCAGAAGTTCAGGTACGTTGCAAACTCCGCTGAAGGACAGAAGGAAGGAAAATGGTTAAAACCACATGGAATGAAACAAAAAGGAAGTTTTGGTTTTCTATGAACGTGTCAGCAGCTTAGCTCACAGGGGTAGCCTTTACAGAGGACCTCGATGGGGGTAGACATTTTCTTCTCACTGATGCGTTCATATTTCTGCCTCTTGGTTGCAGCTTTAAGGCCTTGCCAGGGAAGAGAGCCCAGGTTGAAGTACATGAGGACATATCCCAGGGACTCCAGGTCGTCCCGCCGGGACTGCTCTGTAGGACAGGGTGGGGACAGGCAGGGTTAGCAAAATGCAGGAGTTCTTGGATAGTCGTCACCTGGCGGCGCGTCTTACCGATGCCCAGATGTGTGTTAATGGAGGCGTAGCGGGCCGTGCCGGTCAGGTTCTTGTTTTCGCGGTAGGGGATGTGCTGGTGTGTGCGAGCATCGCGGTATTTCTTAGCCAGACCGAAGTCGATGATGTAGACCAGGTTGCCCTTCTTGCCCAGACCCATCAGGAAGTTGTCTGGCTTCACGTCTCTGTGGATGAAGTTCTTCGAGTGGATGTATTCGATCCGGCTGATCTAGAAACACAGGTGATGGAAACTTTTACAAACCAGGTTCAGAGGGGACGTTTGGACGGTTTAGGAGATTGTGTTTCATCCTTCTCTGGCTCTCACCATCTGATCAGCAAGCAGGAGGACCGTCTTCAGACTGAACTTCCTGGAGCAGAAGTTGAACAGATCCTCCAGACTGGGCCCCAGCAGCTCCATCACCATCACGTTGTAGTCCCCCTCAGCGCCACACCACTTTATCGTTGGGATCCCCACTGAAGCAAAAGGGAAGGTTTTCTTTTTGTTACTCTGAGGTTCATGAATGAACACGAAAAGCAATCAGAAATCTGGTTGCACTTTTTAGTGCATCAACGCTGTTTAATAACAGTTCATACATAAACTGAAAATAAAGACCTTTCTGATTTTAGAAACTGAAAGTCAATATAACCTGACCAAATTACTTTGTTACTTTTGATGTATTTTAGATCCATACCTCAAATAAAACTGTTAATTCTTCTTATCAGCTGCAGTCTGGGATAAAATAACTTTTTGTTTAAATGGTTTAGGATCAAACAAGGGGAATAAAGTAACGTTTTCTTTACTTTATTATTTAGGCCCCCGTCACACCTTGCTGATTTAACCAGTATATGGCCGACGGACCAGAATCTCCTACAACGCTGGCATACGCTCAACTTTCCATGTATTTTTTTCAATTTTAGGCGTATACATAGATAAATACATATTTATAACGAGTCCAGAACTTCTGTCCAACGACAGCCTAACTTATGCATAACGCACAGCAGCGTAATGCCCATGAAATGATGCACAAGCATCATTTCATGGGCATTATAAAGCATCAGTTAAAGCTTCTCTGAAGCACATCACAGCGATGCACCCAGAGGCACCCGGTCTGCAGAAAAAGATTTCTTTGGTCACGATATTAACCTCGCTGCTGTTTACCGCAGCATATGGCCTACGTCGGGAAAGTACTTGCCATATGTTGTTCCAGCGCGCTTCAGCATACTCATAACTTGTACAAAATGTGCCCATAAACTATCCAACGGATGCCAGCGTTTCCCAGATTTCTGGTACGTCAGGCATACACCGGTCAAGATTGGATTTACAGAAGGCGACAAAGTCGGAGGGGCATTTCCAATATTTCTTTTTTACAGCACTAGTGGCTTGTTTTTTCAACAGTAGGCTGACAGGAAAGGGGGCATGATAGGGGGAGAGACATGCGGCAAAGGACCACAGGTCGGATTCGAACCTGGGTCAGCCGCATCGAGGACTAAGGCCTCTCCATGCATGGGTCATGTGCACTAACCACTGCGCCACCTGCACGCCAGCATTTCAGAAATAAAAAATTTAAAGCTATGAATGCAAGTATTAGATTGTCAAAAAAGTTTCCGGATACATTAGAAATTTAGCCTGGATTTCATACTTAAGATATTTGCTGAAGGCATATTTTTGCATATTTGCACATTAAAAGAAAAATATCTCCCACAAACCCACTATAGTCCGACTAATATATCTGGGTTGTTCATTTTGCATTTATCTGCACACTAATTTAGGTAGCATGTGTGATTCCGTTAAAAAAGCCCACACCATGTTAAGATAGAAAAAGGCAAGTTTTTCTGGCTGATAAAAATAGTTTTCCTATCTTTAATCATCTTAATTTTTTATCCTTGTGGTATTAAAAATGATGCAGAACATCAAAAGTTAAGACATTTTAGCAACGTGCCAACCCTGGGGAGAACACGGCCAACCAGTCTGTCATACCTCCGCCTTGCATCATCTTGTAGATCTTGCTTTCGATGTGCAGCTGTGGGTGTTTGGTCTTCACACATTCCAGCTTGATGGCCACCTCTTCTCCCACAGAGATATCCGTACCTGAACAGAGACAGAGACTAAATGAAGCTGCATGCAGGCAGGTCGCAGAGAGGTCAACGAGACTGAAACACCGGGAACACGTCAAAGAGGAGGCCAAGCGTGGCAGCAGTGCTTCTCTAAGGACCTGTGAGGAGTCTGCATTATGCCTGCATTTAAATCTGCAGCTCAACTTTTTCATGAAAGACGGATGTAACTTGGCTTAAACTGTGGTTTTACTCAAACAGAAAAATGATTTTAATTAAAAACCAATATGCAGTATGAAAGTTAAACTTTAGGAAATTTGTTGTTGTGGCTGTTAAAAAAAAAGATAAATATATAAACCTTGTTCATATTCTGATATTACCCTTGTTACCAATTTGTTGCTGAGTGTTAATATAATACTATTGTCAATATGTTGCATAACTACAGTCAGAATTAAGTTAACAGCTAAAGGTTTTTAATATTTATGCTTTTTCTGCTAAATGAATAATTCTTGGTAACTAATTTATTAATCTGCAGACTAAGACTCTCTTTTAATCTGATAACTCTGACAATCACAATAATTAATCTGAAATCCTCAGAGAACCAGCAGTAGAAGCAGTACAGTTTGTTTACATAAAGAATTATCCCTTCCAACCACACCTAGCGAAAAATAAAACCCAATCAGATGATTTCCTCGTTCCTTCCTGAATGCACCGCCCAGTTTTAGGACATCCATACATTTCCATCTCCATTTCTCTCTCCTAGGGAATTCTGGGAGCTGGCCCCATAAGGTTTAGTGCTGAGCTTGCCCTCTTCCTAAACATGGTAATAGACTCCAGTTACCCCCACCCCCCTCACAGAGTAACCAGACACCAGCTTACGTAATTCCACTACTCCCGCTCACATGTGAGAACACACAGTCTCACAGCAGAAACTGTTGGAGCCTCTGATGAAGCCTTGCTGATTTCTCTGTACGTCATCTGGCAGTGATCACGCAGCAGGGTGGGGACCACAGCTCCCTCCACAACATGCATGTGGATTTTCAACATGCAAGGGTTCTCCAGCAAACTGGCAGGAAGTGAGCCCGTTTATGAACGATGCTTCACAGAACAGGAAGACAACAAACACAAACGTTCAGACTGAACATGTCGGGTGTTTACTTAAAGGCTGTGTCAACAATTACACAACAACCATTGAGCTGTGGGTATAAGTGATGTAGAAAGGGATATTCTACAACACCCAGATAACAGTCCTACTTTAGTGTTCAGTCACTAAATCTTATTCAGCAATAAAAACAGGAGCAGAAAAGCTGGAATAATCCGAGCAGCTCTGAGCTTTGCTGAATGTGAGCGAGGAAGGGAATTGTCTGAACAGATTTTTCTGGGGAATGCAGCACTCCCTGCCTCGTTCTCACATGGTGGACTGTTACGCCAAAGTGTTCCCCTTGTACACAGGGTGTGTTTTAATTCTGTGCTGAAACATGTTCAGACACATCTCTGTACACTATTATTTCATGAACAGCAACACCGAGGCGCCACTGGGAACCAACACGTCAACATGCAAATGTCCTATCACTTTTTAAAGAAGAGTTAAGCATCACTGCTTCACTTCTGAAAAGGAATGGAGGCAATATATCAAGTCATATGGTTATTTGCATCTTTATCACCCCGGTCAATAAGATCAGGAAGTTAGAGGACGCTGCGTCCTGTCAGGTGTTCAGAGTCCCGACACCTGCAGCCGAAAGTCTGCAGCCCACTGCTGATGTTTGCAAACAAGGAGCACAAAGAGAGGCAGCAGGATCAGTCTGACCATCAACATGACGGACGGACAGCGAAAAACCAAAGGTTGTGGGTGTGATACCTGAATCACTAAACACACAGACTGAGCTAATTTAATTTAAAGTTTTCAAACAACCTCAGTTTGCGTTTAATCAAACCCCTCCCTGTCAGCATACGTGGCCACAGCGCTCTGCTTTTACACTCATCGGACAAACAGTATCTGTTCAACGAGTCTGTTTTTATTAGTCAGGAATCAGCCTCAGGAAATGTTTACCAACACCAGGCAGCAGTAAACTCATCAACACAACAATTCAACACAGAACACAAAACACACAACCTTCTCTGACTTAATGTTAAAGTCCTTCCGGTTTGCCATAACTACCAATATTAACCAAACAGTCAAACATAAACTCCGCCGTCAGCTTTTCCACATACAGATGATTGAAATTGATAGTGTACATTCTTTAAATGCACATTAAGAAACTTTATGTCCATTAAATGTTTGTGTTTTCAGGCTGTGCAATACGGCCAAAAACATTTCACCATATGGGCCTTTCGTATAAGTCATATTCAATTAGAGATTTCAATTGAAATCGTCCTACTTTAAGCTTCAAAAACAGGTCAGATCTACGACTAACCGTCCTTAGATGGGTTGAAATCCTTTCCTCTGCGTACATCTTCCAGAATGCTGCCTGGTTCTAGATCGATAGCACATTCTGTTGGACACGTTCTCTATTTCTACTGACCAGGTGTGGGTCATGACACAGGTAACCGTTTTACTTCCCTCCTCCACTGTATTCAGAGTTTATTTATATGAATACCATTCCCAATGAGAATCACCCATGCTTAAAAATTGGTGGCGAATGGATGCATGGATCCATTCCCCAATTCATTAATGCCACATCTCAAACTGCTGCATCCTCCGTTTGCTCTTCATTGCTTATGCTTTATTTAATATAACTTCCTGCCTTTGAAGAGGAGCTATGAGCCGATTTACCAGAACCTGGAGCATTGCGCACGTGCAAACAATAGAGTTTTTCTTCCAGATTGACGAGTCCGACCAGCGCCATTTCTTGGCGCCGAGTCCTACGTGTGGTTTTTAGACGTACAGTGTGAGCAGGTAGGTCGCACTGTGTGAGGACAAACACCGTGAGCTGTGAACTTTTAAACCCTGTGGTTTCATTGTAAAGTTTGAGCTGAAGCTGCGTGCAACAATTGAAAATATCACAGTGTATGCCCGGCTTTATTTGGGGTTGTAGTCAGTCCACGTCTTTGACTGCGACTGCCTCAGCTACAGATATGGTGCTGTGCCGCACAGCAAAAAGGGCTCCACAGCGCCATCTGATGGCGTGGCAATGCAGAAGTAGCACATTTTCATCCGTTGTTTTTTGTTTTATTAAGTCGATACCTGGAACTGAAATATCAGCCCTAATACAGAGTATGATACCAGTATATAACAGAAAAATGTATACAATGATACTACGCCTGCATGACTGGGATATTATCACTGTGGTAAGGCCTGGCTGTAGTTAAACACTAGAATGGAAACATGAATGAATGCAGCAAATGTAAGCTATTTATTAATCTAAATAGAAGAGTATAAAAAAATTTGACAAATCTAGGAACAGTTATTTTTTAGAAATCAAAGTACCATAGTCATAATATTGCAATATTTGTTTAAAAAGGAGACAAAGAAGAAAAAGAACTAGGTCAGAGCTAATGGAGTTAACCAATAAATAGATTCCTATTTTAAATCACATGGTATCAGATCAGCGCCTGACTTCAAATACTCACTGATACCGACGGCAGCAGCAGAGACAACTAATATTTAGAGATGCACAATATTGAGATTTTGGCCGATATCCGATATGCCGATATTTTAAAACTCATGTAGCCGATAACCGATAGATACTGATGTTAAAGCTGGACAAAAATAAGTAGTCATTGAAAATAGCAGTTTTGTTATCCATTTCTGACACTTTGAAAAATAATATACTCAAATATATTTTCATATGCTGATATCAAATAGATTTTTAAAAACGCGGTATCGATCTATTTTACTTTCAAAATCTTGTGAAATGTCATCGTTCTGTTACAAACTCTCGTGATATTTTGCAAATTCTTGTGAGATTTTGTTTGTAAAATAGATCGATACCGCGTCAATATATCAACATATAAAAATATGGCAACATTTCGTGAATTTTCGGGGGATTTCGTAGCATAACGATGACATATAGCAATATTTCATTAGTAAAAGAGATTGATATGGTGTTTTTAAATGGCAATATATCAGCATATGAAGATATTGGGATATTTTAATGTATCGATATTTTTTCCCTCGTCTTTAGAAGTTTTTAAGTCTGTAAAAAAGAAGTTTTTGATGAAGAAGAAGAAGCAGTATTTTTTTTTTTTTTAGACTTTAGAAACTCAGAAGCTGATCAAATATCGGGTTAAATATCGGCGGGGTGGCCGATGTCCGATATTCGGTTTTCAGGCCGATACCGATAGGGGGCCGATTATATCGTGCATCCCTACTAATATTAATGAATGTTTATTTTTTATTAAATTCAGATTTTTATCATTGTCACATTTATAGTGTAAATGAAGAAACTGTTAAAAATTGATCAAAAACATAATAAATGTAAAAAATGTCTAATTTTTAGCCTATCCTGGGGAACAATTAGACTGATGTCAGAATGATCAATATCTGGCTTTAACAAACCTGTATTGGATTATTTTTACCTGTTCATAAATCAGAACAACCAGAAACAAAGAGTCTTGATTTCTGTTTTCCATCATAATCACCATTTAATAAAACCACCATGTAAAAAAACAAAAACAAATTAAGGACAGATAAAAAAAGGGATAATGGCAACCTGAAGAAGAGGACTTTTATAAATAACTAATCAATAACGTTGTCAGGCTACAGTTTCCTTTTGTCCTGTTTTCTTTTCTCTGTGACCCCAATGTTGATCTGTTAAAGGAACTAAACTGGTTAGAGCTCCAGTCTGATACTGGTGATTAGGTTGGGACATGTGCATTCACCACTTCCTTTGTCTACTTGTGAAACTGTCCCCTGGCAGAGTTCCTGTACCTGTGGACACTGGCCTACAACATTTTAAAAAGGACTGAAACAGAAAACAGATGTGGAACAGAGGATGACTTCGTAATTCATCTAACCACTCGTTTCCTCTTTCAGGCAGCAATGATTTAGTTCTCTGAAACAACATCAGTCTTATGGAAACAAAACAAATGACCCGGGACATCTGCTGATCTTTAACAGTAAAGGTAGCTTCAGCTTTAGCGATTTAGGAAACCAAAATAGAATTTTACTTTTTTTTTTTTAAACCTCTTCTGTTATGTTTTAAGGCAACAGAGGGAAAACTGATCTAACAGAACCACACACGGCTCTGACTCATTTACAACGTTACAACAGATTAGTCATCAGCCACTCAATGGAGAGGATGGACAGCTAAGCGAAAACACCAAGTGATTATGCAAGGGACTGGCAGCTCTCTATCAGATTGTACAACATGTCGTGTGGAAGAAACACCGGATCCTGTTAATTAATCTAACCTCTCCAGTGTTTGGAAACACTACAGATACACCATCGTAGACTTTATCAGTTTTCTTTAGAACGCAGGAGTTAATCTGTGAAATATTATGGTGCTAAACTTCAGCAAAAAGGGCTTTATTACTAAACAAATAACCTGAAGTTAATAGTGCACGGCTGCATAACAATTATAGGTATGCTGTTAAAAAATGGCTGTAAAAAGTTCCCAAAAAGTCCAATCAACGACAACAATAAAATGAACAACTTGTAGAAGCATTATCACAGGGGAGACCAGGAACCCTTCTGTTTAGCCCCATTTACACTACCCTCTGAAAACTGATCCGCGCCGAGCTTGGTTCCTTACGACCGTTTACACGTGAAAGGCTGGTTATCCTCCCACAGCAGTGTGTCGCAGTGAGGTTTTCGCTTGATTTATGCCCAATGTTGAAGCGTGGTCTGCGCTATGTTATTCTACGCCACAACACAGGAGGGACAATCAGGAACTAGCTGTGGGTCCAGATACGGCCGAGGCGGTGAAGAAGGAGGGGCAGGTTTGTCCACAATGGCGGTCATACAAACAAAACAAGCCAGTAATTTCCAAACAGGAAATACGCATAGTGTAGAGCGGATGAAGATCGACCAATCAGAGGCCTTTTGTCTGCGGTCACCTACAATTTTGGAGAGGCGCAGCAGATTGTCTGCGGAAGGGGCAGGGCATATCTGCGTTAACTGCGACACGCATTCAGACGACCTGGTTTCTAAATATAAATCAGACATCACACTCCTAGTGGCGATCTACGGTACTGCCGCTCTCTACAGGTAAACGAGCAAATTAACATGGTGGCGCCCGTAATACTGAGGAAATTTGCTGAGAGTCAGACGAAGAAGGCAGCCTTTGGTGAATTTACTTGACAGAGTCGGCTTTCGGGAAATGGACACGACAAACAATAGTTTAATCAGGGCTTCCAGGCACTGGAAACAACGACGGGCATTAAGGTTCAACACACTGCTAAGCAGAACCATCGTGTGGCACGGTAGGGAAGCTAGGATTTTTATGAATGTCTTAAATTTCGTAATTTTAGAGGCTGACTGTAAGGAGATGAGGCGGTCTGCTCATCCGCTCTTTGAGCCTGAACAGAACCGCCCTACAGAACCGCCCTAGAACCGCCCTACTGATGAACTAGTACCAGATTAGTGCGGATCGGCTGGTCCAGTTCAGTTCTGCGTGCCAATAACACTCAATAGTTATCTCGGTTATCACCGTGCTAGGGACGATCTCGGCCCCATTTCAAAAGGCTTGTGTAAATGGGGCTTTTGGCTTCGATGCATTAAATGCAATGAAAGAGAGCTCAACAAAAGCAATAAAAAGTCATTTTATGAGTTACAAATCGACAACTGTTGGAGAAACAGCATATTTAAGCATTTCTCCCAGAGTCAAATCTAAGCGAACATCTTTATATCTACATTCAGAGACAACTAACTCTCTGAATGTGTCAGTTTTGTGATGGTGTGTGTGTGTGTGGGGTGGGGGGTTGGAGGAATACAGATGGTCACATCTCGATCCCACTGCGCTTTAAACCCAGACCTTGCATGAAGGAAGAGCTTTGTGTAAACAAGATACATCAGATGTAGATATTCAAAAATATTGGTCAACTCTTGTATTAGTTTAAACTATAGATTCACGGTCATCAGCTATCGGTATCAATATGAAAATAGTGATTCTGTTGTGGCCTGAAGCCAGATCAAATTAAGCCACAAATAACACATTTCCTCCCAGTAGGAATCTACATTTCATTTATAACACAAAAAAATGAAAGATGTCAATCAGCAGACAGATAACGAGCCTTGATTATCAAGAAATGTTTTTATGTCACCCAGCAGAGATGGAGCTATATTTATACAACCTGTTCGTGACAGCTTGTTCTCACACTGATTCCGGGCCTTCATATATAACCGCTTCTTTGGAGCTAATCTTAAAAATAAAGATCACACTGCTACGAATTTTATATCGTTAAAGTCAGTGACCTGAAATCTGTCTAAACCGATAATAGGCTTGGTTGGTGTGTTAAAGAACAATAAAACATCCACCCAAACAATACTTCAAATCAAATGTCTTAGATTTGGTCTGAACGACCATTTTATGTCGTAGAATAAAACTGGTTAAAGTTCTGTAAAAGCGAGGCTAAAAAAAACAACAGCAAAAATTGCTTAGCTAGCTGAGGACAAAACACCTAGGTGCACAGAAGCTAACAGTTAGTCATTTAAACTGAATATTTCGGCTCCGACATAAAGTTATAACACAACACAATATTAAAATATGTTTTATTAAGTATAATCAATTAGAATGATTGTGTAATATTTAAAGCAGACGACGACAAAGCTAGCTTAATTGCTACAGAAACTGCTAGCCTAGCAGCGGAGGCTAACTGGAGCACAACAGCTGATCGCCTTTCATGGGCTCCTTCTGAACCCCTGAAAAGGGAACCAGTTGGTCAACTTCCTCACACTTTCCGTATAGTGTTGATACAATAACACAGACAGGCAGACGAGTTTCTGTGAAAAACAAACATACCCAGGTAGATGTCTCCAAACGATCCGCTTCCAATTTTTCTGCCCAGTCTGTATCGGTTTCCGACTCTCAACTCCATGTTAATAAATTTGTCGTTGGCTAGCTAGCAGGCTCGCTAGCTCCAAAATATTCAAAATATGGTCAGCTTCAAACCTCCAACTTGCTTACAAGTAGAATAATTAAACGAACCAGTCGAAACCGGAGATCCGTTCAACCAACAATTTTTGTTCTTCTGTAAGCCGTCTCTGGGTGAAGTCTCTCCGACAATCTTTCGCCTCTTGTTTTACAATGTTGAAAAAGTCATATTGCGACAATATGAAGTTTTTAAGAAAGTGTGATGTTTGCACTTTATGCTCCTGTCGTTTTAAAAATCGATGCGCCTTAAACTTTTACGGATGAAAACGGATTTTGAAAATATCCCCTGAGCTCTTTGGCACGGATACGGTGGCTCGTACTTCTCTGCTGTGTTAGGACCTAGCTCAGCAAACTGCTGCCTCCGTTACGTCACTTCCTGCTTAGATGATGGGGGAGGACACGATCAGAGATCCTATAAAGAAAGATCCTCCAACAAGTGTTGCTTTTGGTAACCAGACCTTCAAATGAGATAACCAAAAACATACCCGTTATGTTTAAACTAGGATTTGTTTATTTAGATTCACAACAAAGAGTCTAATATTATGCTTTTAGTTACACGTACATTCAACCCAGTTCAACGCATAGTTACGATTTACTAATGAAAATTTTTGTGAAAATTTGAATTGAGAAAGCTTCCTGTAGGGGAAGCGAGACGTCTTCAAACCTTGGAAACCAAGTCCAGTCGATTGTTTTTTGAACTTTTACGGGATTTTCTTGTGAAATTTTGTGAGATGCTATTGTTTTATTATATGCCGCTTTATGCAAAACATGTTTTCTATTAATTTAATTTCTATAAACCATATTGTGGGTTTTCCAGTCTATGTATAATTTATCCCACTCCAGCCATTCATGTCGGGTTTCAATGTTAATGTCCCTTTGTTGCACTTTCCACGTAGAGACTAATCTCCTTAAAATAAAAGGCTCTGGTTTCACTCAACAACAAAAGATCGGCACCTTTGTTCCTCTGGCTTCTGTCCATCCTCAGATGGTCAAAATTATACAGAGAATCAGGACATCCTGTAACTCATTACTATTACAGATAAAACCTAAGCATTTATTTTAATTCATAATTTTTTATCACTTTATGAAAAATGTTACATATTTAATAGTTCGTATATCATGGGTTCCAACAGTAACATTTCTGTTATTGAATATGTTACAAATAACAATGTTTAAAAGAAAGACATTTATTCGCCGTTCAAAGAAAAAAATCGATATTAATAAAGTCCAGCTTGACTTAAAAATATTAAAAACATTTTATTCAAACTGCTTCCTCGTTCGGACAATAGAATCCGGAGATCATGCTTTTATTCTGAAAGAATAAACCCGGAAGAAGAAGTTTTCCTTTCTGTTTTCTTCTTATTTGGCGTGTTTATAGGTCGACTTCAATTAATATTTAGAGGCTTCGACAGGTGCTAAAAATAATCGCAGGAGAAGAAGCGATGGAGGCTGTTTCTCTTAAAAGAAAACCAAACTGGTAAGATTGCAGTAAAAGCGGGAAAGATGGTTCTGCCACATGCGATGTCGCTCCAGCTAATAGCAGCAGACCAAGAAAAACTTCAGTCTAAAAGTTTTCATTCTAAAACAAAGAAATAATAAACAAACAAAAAAATTGTTTTTACAAAAACAACAACTATCTTTTGGTCCCAAACATTGTTTCTGTGCCTGGATTGCTTGGTTTAAGGGAGACACGCAGCTGTAATATAATTTAAATGTATTGATATGAAAATGTCTTTTATGATGAATCACCTTTTTTCTCATCATGAGGCTGGTTGTTATCAGGCTCTCATTCATTATCCGAACCTCACAAGCTAAAGATAATGGTGGAGCGGCTCACTTTATATGGGCGGGGCGGAAGTAGAACCCTACGGGGAGAACCAGAGGGATTATAGTACCCTATGGGGAGAACCAGAGGGATTTCAGTACCCTACGGGGAGAACCAGAGGGATTATAGTACCCTATGGGGAGAACCAGAGGGATTTCAGTACCCTACGGGGAGAACCAGAGGGATTATAGAATCCTATGGGGAGAACCAGAGGGATTATAGAATCCTATGGGGAGAACCAGAGGGATTATAGAATCCTACGGGGAGAACCAGAGGGATTATAGAATCCTACGGGGAGAACCAGAGGGATTATACAGTAGAATCCTATGGGGAGAACCAGAGGGATTATAGAATCCTACGGGGAGAACCAGAGGGATTATACAGTAGAATCCTATGGGGAGAACCAGAGGGATTATGTAACCCCACGGGGAGAACCAGAGGGATTATGGAACCCTACGGGGATAACCAGAGGGATTATGGTATCCTACGGGGAGAACCAGAGGGATTATGGTACCCTACGGGGAGAACCAGAGGGATTATGGAATCCTACGTGGAGAACCAGAGGGATTATAGAATCCTACGGGGAGAACCAGAGGGATTATGGTACCCTACGGGGAGAACCAGAGGGATTATGGAATCCTACGTGGAGAACCAGAGGGATTATGGAATCCTACGTGGAGAACCAGAGGGATTATGGTACCCTATGGGGAGAACCAGAGGGATTATGGTACCCTATGGGGAGAACCAGAGGGATTATGGTACCCTATGGGGAGAACCAGAGGGATTATGGTACCCTATGGGGAGAACCAGAGGGATTATGGTAGAGGGATTATGGTACCCTACGGGGAGAACCAGAGGGATTATGGTACCCTACGGGGAGAACCAGAGGGATTATGGTACCCTACGGGGAGAACCAGAGGGATTATGGTACCCTATGGGGAGAACCAGAGGGATTATGGTACCCTACGGGGAGAACCAGAGGGATTATGGTACCCTATGGGGAGAACCAGAGGGATTATGGTACCCTATGGGGAGAACCAGAGGGATTATGGTACCCTATGGGGAGAACCAGAGGGATTATGGTACCCTACGGGGAGAACCAGAGGGATTATGGTACCCTATGGGGAGAACCAGAGGGATTATGGTACCCTATGGGGAGAACCAGAGGGATTATGGTACCCTACGGGGAGAACCAGAGGGATTATGGTACCCTACGGGGAGAACCAGAGGGATTATGGAATCCTACGTGGAGAACCAGAGGGATTATGGAACCCTACGTGGAGAACCAGAGGGATTATAGAATCCTATGGGGAGAACCAGAGGGATTATGGAATCCTACGTGGAGAACCAGAGGGATTATACCGGCCTGAGAAGCCCTGTGGTTCCCTCAGCCGGGATTTCTTGGTTTCTGTCCTAAAACTCAGGGTTGTTCTCTGATGATCAGTTAATCTGCTTATTCAGGTAAACTGGTCGCTGCTGATATCACCACAGCCTTTTCAAACCATCTGATCTATTGACCCTCTGCTCCATCTGTATAGATTTTTGATAACGGGTTGATATGGGTTCCAGTCGATAGAGTTTAGGTCCAGATTACAGGCCAAACAGATTTTCTTCCATTCTCTGATCCAAATGTGGTATTTTGGATTATCTGTGCACACGGAAGACCAGAGGGGTCTAAGTGTGTTTGACCCGATCATCAAGGAAGAAATGTATTTTCGCCAAACATCATTTAATGCTTAATAAACCATCAGCAGAGTTTTGTAGTCTGTTTCTCGACAATCAGGGAACTAGTGCAGAGATTTGATGCTTAATGGGAGCCTTTGGTCAGGACTCTGGCAGCAGCACTGGGATGAGCTGCAGCTGCCTGCCTGGAGGCAGACATCTAATCCAGGACCCAGAGTAGGTGTTGGGACCTCCTAGGGGGCTGCAAGATGGTAAAAATGGATTTAGATGTAAGCCTTTAATTTCAGTCAGTATAATGATTAGGGCTGAAACAATTAATGAGATAATCGTGATTAATCGATTAATGAAATAATAAACTGATTTAATAATCAATCATTAACTGAAGTACAGAGAGTAAACCTGTCTTTATCTGACAGAGTGATCCACTTAGAGCAGGAATTATACCAAGATTGTAAAAAATATGTAAACATTTTACATAAAAAAAATAAAAAATACTTCTATCAATCTGCTCTATCCAGAACTCCTCAAGTGGAAAAGTTCACCTTGTTTAATTTCATAAAAAACGTATTTGAGGAACCTTTGGGCGCTAAGTTGGCAACACTGCTCTTTGCATGGTTTGTTTTCAAATGGTTTGCTGCTGTCTGTTTGGACCTTTCTGAACATGTTCTGCAAATGGACTGATCCAATATGGTGGACACTGAAGGGGGCAGGGGGAATTTTATCAAAAACATAATTAATGTGCACAAATAAGGAATAGTTGTATTAACCATTCATGTGAACAGAGTTTACAGGAACTTGGGGCCCTAGGCAACTGCCAGGTATTGCCTAATGGTAAATCCCCCCTGAATTTGGTACAGACATGTTTTCTGTCCTCAGGGTGGAATCCAGTGTGGAGCAGCCCGTGGATGTCAGCGTTCCTAAGGACATCCAGCCTCCTGCTCTTCCGGGTAAGCTCCATAAAACTGGCAACCCTCCAACATGTAGCCCGTAGGATGACAGAAAGCGTTTGCTTCCTGTTCCAGCCAAACATTACGATGCAGAGACCACCGAACCCATCAGCTGTGGTCTTTGCTCATTGGATGAGTTGTTGTCATGGAGCTCAAGCGAGGCGAACCCCCTCAACGTGGCAGCCATTCCTCTGGTACCCCGGGAGCCTCGCCTGGTGGACTGTCAGCGTCGCACGCTGGTGTCTCATGATATGATGGGTGGATACCTGGACGACCGGTATTATGTCTACTGTCTTTGGGAGGGTTACATTCAGATCAATCAAACGTCACACTGGCGTCTTTTTTTAAAGGTTCATCCAAGGATCAAATGCCGAGGCGCCGTATGCCTTCTACCACTGGCAGTACATCGATATCTTCAACTACTTCACGCACCACATGGTGACCGTTCCTCCAGCCGTGTGGACAAACGCTGCTCATAAACACGGAGTCATCGTTCTCGGTAAGCAGGTTAACTCCCATCCATCTGGATTAGCGTCCTGAAGCTGCGTATTACAGCGAGTGGCTGACGTGTTCACACTGCCCTTCATGTTAAAGATCCTTTATTTGGGTTTTGAGTTGATGAACACAGAGTAGAGATTTTAAGTGTTTTAAAGCAGATGAAAGCTGATGTGTTGTTTTTTAGATGGTTTGAATTTTTTGCAAAGAAAACTCTGAAAAGTGTTGAATGCGTATGTATTCACCCCTTTCTAAAATCCTTAACGAAACATTTCCTTCAGAAATCGCCTCTTACGTAGCGCTGAAAGAGTTAACTTGATTATTCGATTATTGAAATAATCGTCAACTAATCTCGTAATCATTAACTTGAGTATAGATACTCTAAAATATGCCTTTAGCTGACAGAGCGACACA